GATTTAATTGTAAAAGGAATTAAATACTGACACTATTATTATTATTATTATCATACGTATTATTAATAAGCTTCGAAAAAAAAAAAAAAAAAAAAAAAAACTTATTGCAAAAAAAAAATCCCTTCTTTGCATTATTATAAGAGGAGGGGATATATATGAGAATAAATAAGGCCAATGAAAGCTCGTTTTGTATCATTGTTACTCAAGTATTCGAATATTTATACATATTTTTTTTTTTTTTTTTTATTAAATTGTTGCATTTTCAAATGATTGTTTAATTATTGTATTATATTATCTGAATTTGTTTTTTTTTTTTTTTTTTTTTTTTAAATATTATTATTATTAATATTTGCCTTTGGATAAATAATTAATATATATTTTTTTTTGTTATATCATATATGTGAGGATATATATTATAAAAATGGGCTCGCTTTTTTTAGAATTGAGTAAACAGGAAAGTTTACTGAAATTGATGGAAGAAAGAGGGTAATTATTATTATTATTATTATTTTTTTTTTTAAACACCTTTTTCACTTCTAAAAGGAAAAATATAAAATTATTTGAATGTTTGGATTAGGGGGTATTAATTATTGATTTGTTCATGAAGTACCTGATCTGCCTGTTTGTATTAATAATGAAAATAATTATTATTATTAAAGACAAGTGGTAAATACTTTTATATACTTAATAAAGCTTAAAATTTTTTACTATTTATAAAAATGTTTGAAATTTATATGGTTGTTTTGCTTTTTTGTGGGAAATAAAAAATTTTCATAAATATTTGTCTGTTGTAGTGTTGTTATGAAAAACAGTGAATTTGAATTAAATTTTATATTTTTATGTAACAAATTTTTAATATTAATCGATGAATTCAATTCATATTATTTAGATATTATATTAAAATTTTTGTGAAAGTGAAATATAATTAAAATTATAAAATACAATCAAAATGGCGATTTAAGCGTCTATATCTCAAACAATTATTTCAAAATCGATTAGTTTTTATTTATTAATTTTTAATTAACGTATCTCCTTAAAAATGGTAAAAAATATTTAAGAACATCAACTTTTTTTTTGTTTTTTTAAGTTAATTTATATTAAACGATAGTTTAAATAAAAAAAAAAAAGAAAAATTAATATGTTAAACAAATGAGCGTTTTTGAGCTTACCGTATACATTTATGCTTATTATTTTTTATTAAATTTTGAAAATATTTTACGAATTTAGTTGCTAAAAAGTTTTATTTACGAAAAACGAATAAAATTTTTCTTATCGGACATTATTATTAATATATTTTAATAAAATAATTAACGATTTTTGTTTAATTATAATCCGTTTGAAAAATGTCTGATGAAATTTGAATGTGTGAAAACAATATGGCGGCTAATTTATAAAATGCGTTTTACATTTTATTAAAATTTTTTTAAAAGTTAATGATTAATTATTATTTTATTTTATATTATTTTTTTACAAAAGGTTTCGAATTAAATAAAACAAATACTGATCGTATTTAATTTTACCGTACTAATAATATTATTTATTGTTGTAAAATATTTGTCTGGTAAATATTTATTTATTGTTATTAATTAAATATCAAACAAAAACGAAAATTTTCAATAATAATAACATCATGGCGTATGAATATCGCGTGTACTTAGTATTCAAAATAACCGAATAGTTGGCATATTTTCATATGAAATAACTCCTCTGCCCCCCCTTTTTTTTTTTCTCTGCCCTGTAGAAAAAAATTTTTGTTGGGCAAAAAAAAAATGGCGTCGGTTTTCTTTAACCACCACTTTATAATAAAAATTTAATGGCGTTATATTTGCACAAATGAAATTTTTGTTCGTTGAATTCAATTAGTTCTTCAATTTTACGATATTTTTTTTTTTTTTATTATAGATTTACCCTCTGTCAACAAAATGGACAAAGAACCTATGGGGGACCTCCACCCAATTGGGGTACTAAGCCGCCACCAAGTAGAGATTGTGAAGTTTTTATTGGACGACTTCCTAGAATGTGTTTCGAAGATGAATTGATTCCATTATTTGCTAGCATGGGAGAGGTATTATGGTGTTGTTTTCCAAAAAAAAAAAAAAAAAATCTATTCCATAATACCCATATCGTTATTTTTATTACAGCTTTATGAATTTAGATTGATGTTGGATTTTTCTGGAACGAATCGCGGGTATGCTTATGCTCATTATACGACACCAGAAGGTGCTTTAAGAGCAATCAAATGTCTTAACAAATACGAAATAAGACCGGGTCATTTAATTGGAGTACTTAAAAGTAAAAATAATTGTAGGCTGTTGTTTGGAAATATTAAATCCGGCGTTCAGATAAAAAATTTCTCCGATGTAAATAAACATTATTATTATTATATTTAATAATTTAAAATTTTTTAAATGACATGTTTCATATATTTTTATTTTATTTTAGTTTATTCGAAACGCTACTGAACAAGTATTAAACGTCATCATGTTTGAAAAATTCAGCGAATTAAAATCAACAGATTACAGGATATCATCCGAAGTTGAAGAAGCTTTTTTGGGAAGGGTATTGAAAAACGAAGGAAAATTTGCTATTGTAGAATATGAAAATCACAAAGCGGCTGCTGTTGCCAGAAGGGTATTGATTCCTAAATATGGTCATATATTGGCAATTGATTGGGCAGTACCACCTCGAGATAGAAAACGCATCATAAGTGTTGGTATCCCTTTCAATAACAATTCTACAATCATTTTATAAATTTTCAATAATTTTTTTAAATTTTAGAGTAACGAATCAACGACTTCCAACGGTTCTCAAACAAATTCATCAAATCAAATGATATTCGATTCAAATATTTTATCACCCATGAAAGTCTGTACTAAAATTCGTCCAGTTCCTGAATTGATTGTCGAGCCTTCGATAATGGATGACGTACCTTTCATGCACAAATCATTTTTCAACATTGTTAAATATTTCAAATATCAAATAAGCTTGTGTTTGTACATAAGCACCGATCGTTTGGAAATCCCACTTTTTATATGTAAAGAAATCGAAAGGAAAATTGTTAATCGTATAACGAATTTAAAAAACTGCAGCGAAGCCATACAGTTGATATTTAATTATTTTTCATGGTATAATGAAAAAAAAAATTTTGTCATCGATTACGAGGTTCAAGGCCTTTTGCAAGAAGTTAAACTTTACTCTGACGTTTTCGTACAATACGTTATGAAAAGATTTCAAATGCCTCAAAATCAAATTTTACCAGAAGAAGAATATTATTCTTACACTTTACCACTTAACCTCAGCATATTATTTAAAATTATTTTAAGAGGTAGCACGGAACGACAATTAAAAATTTCCGGCATAACGAAAGGTTTAAATTGGCTCACTGGTGTCATGAAAAGCAACGAACTCAGATTGAAATATTTTATAGAAGAAGTCATGGCTCAAATGGCAAAAGAACAACCTTCGGCTGTTGAAAAATCTTGCGCTTTGGCCAAATCAATATTTTTAAATGCCATAACATCAAATTCTCAAACTCAAAATTGTTACGGATCATCTCGAGATGATATTCATCAGCAAATATTAAATTATAAAATGGATGATAAAAATTATCAATGTAGTAACGGATTGGAATCGAAGAGTATAATTTTACCATCCGCCATGGAAACGAAAAACGTGAGTTTTATAATTATTATTATTATTATTATTATTTATAATTTTTGCACAGATTTCTAAACGTTTTGTTTTTTTTTTCTCTTGACTATAGCAAACGACGGATATTGATTTTCCAAACAATTCAACGACTTCCGATAATTCGATAAAAATATTACCACCGGTACCTTTACTAATAATAAAACCTTCGATAATGAACAATCCAACGTGCATGTCAAGAGTTTTCTTTTGCGCCATAGCATTTTTCAAACACATGTTGAGAATTTGTGCAAATACGTACATATGGCAAATGAACATACCGCAACAGATATATCGAGAAATCGAAATTAAAATAATCGATAGAATATCGAATATGGAAAATTGCAGCGAAGGAGTACAATTGATGATAAATTATTTTTCATGGTGGATAGAAAGAAGACAGGGTAAAAGTTCAAAGGAAATCCACGTTATTTTATCCGAAATAAAACTTTATTCAAATTCGTTCGTACAATTCGTATGGAACAAAACTCTCAATTCCAACGTGGACGTGATCAATTCTGATAATTATTATTGTAATGCGTTACCCTTGAAATTATCATTGCTTCATCAAATATGTCTCATATACAACAGCGGACAACCTTATAGATACGTCGTTTACATAACGAAAGGTTTAGCATGGCTAGATGAAATCATTGAGAAAGGAAGTAAAGAATGTAAAGCTTTAATATCGGAATTGAGTAGATTCATATTGGAATTAAATTCGGATTCGTACGAATGGGCTAAATTAAAAGGTAAATCAATTATTAACGAAATTATTAATCCCGACATATTGTTCGACGTACATAATAAATATTCGGATTATAATATTTTATCAAATCAAATCAAATCCATTTATTTTAACGATTATGATATTATGGATTCTAAAAATTTTAATATTTAATTTTTTTACTTATTAACCATCACAATAATAACAATAGATACCGTTAATAATTAATTGTTTAAAAAAAAAAGAAAAAAAAAAAAGAAATGAAATCTATTTTTTTAAAGGGGGCGGGGCTGGGGCGGGGCGAGGGAGGAGGAGGCGGAGGCGAGACTTATAATTGCACAACCCAGATCATTGAGAAATTTAAAAAACTGTATTGAATTGAATTTTTTTTTTTTATTTTGGTAGTGAATTTTTTTCCCCTGAAATTTTTTTACTATTATTATTATTATTATCGTAACATGAAATCTATTTTTATTATCATTATTATTATTATTATTATTAATCATTAATTAATTTTTTTTAATTTTTCACAAATACTAATAATAATTTTAAATAAAATCAAAACAATCATTAGCAGTTAATCATTATCATCATAATAATTATCATTATTATTCTTTTTTATTAAATAAAAGTTATGAAATCAAATAATAATAATAATTTTTAACCCCCAAAAATATTAATTAATTAAATAATCATAGTTATGTTTAAGGAATATTTGATTCATAACTTTTTTTTTTCTATTTTTTATTATTTTTTTTTTATGAATAAAATATATATAATAAAAGCAATAATTGTTACTTTTTAAATAAATAAATAAATAAAAGTTAATAAATTTTCAATTAATAGTATTTTTTTTATTATTAATTATTATTATTATTATTTTTGTGTGTTATCAAACATTTTTTTTATTAGTTAACAAAAAAAAACAATCACTATAATAATGATAAGGGAATTTTTTTTTTTTTTTGAATTATTTTATTGTGTATTATTTTGTTAAGTATTAATAATAATAGGAAAAACGATGATAATAATAATAATTACGTAATGGTTTTTAATATTACTGTTAAATTATGTATCGATTTTTTTTTTTTTATTATACATTTACATATATATATATATTTAAAGTGAGCAGGATTACGTTCATCAATTATTATCATTATTATTAACGGTTACAAATATGAAAAATGAAATGATGATAAAATAATAATAATAATAGTTTTTTTATTAATTAATTAATGAATTCGCATTTCTTTTTTTATTATAATTATTTTTAGTAATTAAATTTAACCGGAAGGAATTTATTCCCATGTATTTTCTTTCTCTGTGTCTCTCTTTACCCCTCCCCCCATTCGTTTTAATTATATTTTACAAGTTTTTTTTATAGATTTAGATTTAAGATTAATGTAACCAATTTATTATTATTATTATTATTAAAAAATTTTTTATTGTTTTCACGATTGATTTAATTTTTAAATTTTATTTTTATTATTATTAATATTATTATTATTATTAATACGATTGATAGTAATTTTTTGGCTTTTAAATAATATTATCGTTATTTAATAATAATAATTAAAAAAAAAAATAAATAAATTTATTATTAATTATTAACAGTATTATTATTTTCGTTTTCTCATTTAAACCTCCTACGTCACATTCTTTCCTGTTCGCGGTAACATTTCTCATTTAAATACTTATCAGTAATACTTATTGCCGCTATGTTGATTCCTTCATCGCCACGAACCCCCCCCCCCTACGCCTCCCCAAAAAAAATAAAAAAAAATTTATGTATATATATGTATATATATATATTTATATATTCTCTTTACATTTTAAATTTTTTTATCGACAAAAAAAAAAGGCACTTACAAATTATATATATATTTTTTAAAAATTAATAATTTATTATAAATTATTAATTAACACGTATATTTATTTATTTATTTATTTATTTTTTTTTTCCGATTAAAAATACTAAATTTTATTATTATCATTATCAATTATTATTAATACATAAATTTTTTTTTTCCTATAAATTAATTTTTTATCAACGATTTAAAGCAATAATATATATATATATATATAAAAATATATATTTTTTAACAGGACGAAGTTTAGTTTTTTATTATTATCATTATTATTATCAATTAATTAATTAATTAAATATAAAATCTATTGATTTCATTCGATATTATTCATTTCGATTATACGATCGATCGATAAATCGATTATTGATCCGTCCGCACGTTTTCACACGATAACAAATAATTTAAATAACACGAAAATTATTATTAATAATAATAATAATAATAATTGTATTTTATCGAGAGTAGTTGGTACTACTTACTACTTCGACTCTTACTGCTGCTACTATCACCACTGCTACCATCACTGGTACCACCACTGCTACTACGTGAATATTTCTTGATATTCTTTTAAAAGGCATTCGATGACGACGTTTTGTTGCATTAGTTCCAACGCCATGTTTGCCGATTCTTGTTCGGGCCACATCAAAGTCGGTCCGAAAACTATCGCCAAATTATTTATGTTCATCCTGTTGAATTTGTGATATTCTTTGACCCTGTAAACGTCGTTTAAACGATACGATTAATCGATATCGAAAAAAAAAATAATAATAATAAACTTTCTCTCTCACCTAAGCAAATGTTGTAGTAAAAATTTTAAAGTGTCGTAATTGGGCGTCGGTAAACTTTTGACTATTTTCTGAAAATCTTTGATTCTCTCTTTTCTCCCTTGCTTATCTGGAAATTTTTTGAATTATTAAATAATTGAATGAATGAATAAACACGTTCTAAGCACGGTTAGCAGGTATCAGGTACCAGGGGTCTTACCCGTCGCCAAAAGAGCCGGTTCCAATTGTTTGGAAGGTATGAGCGGCTCTTTCAATTCCCGGAAAAATAATTTCAATGATCCCGTTAAAACGTGTACGTCTTCTTCGTCTTTCATTATGTTGAGATTATTTTGATCCACCTTGGAAAAAAAAAAAATGATAATGATAATAATAATAATAATAATAATTTTCTAAATCCTTTTTTCTTTTTTTTTTCCAACGGATTCCGATTTATTACCTCCAGTCTTATTTTTTGTACTTGCGACAAATTTCCCGAAGCCCTGTACAAACCATCAGTCTTCATATTTTCTTCTTTGCTTTCGATGCATTCGATGCATTTTTCGACAAACACGGGAACACGTGGATTTCTATTCTTTGTTATTTGTTCCAACGAACAACCGAACACGGGCTCGTCTAAACAACAAAATGAAAATTATTATTATTATTATTATTATTATTAGGATACGAAAGGGATAAGAAAATATTTTTGTTTACCCTTCCATATTCCTTTTTTCTTGAGGGAATCAACGGTGGGTCTCCTAATGAAAAACTTTTTCAATTTTGCTTTTATTTTATTTTGACGATCTTCCGACGTAGAACTAAGATCCTCCATGCTACCCGTGTTATCCTTCGTTCTCACTGGAATAAAAAACAAATAATAATAATGATGATGATAATGTCAATTTTTGTGAAATGTCATTTCCTTTCCTATTATTATTATTATTCGTTGTTCGCTAGGGTGATTAACCTTGACATTTACATCAATGTTAACGTTTATCATCTATCTATCTATCTAACTATCTGGAAGGAGGTGTCGTCGCCAAAGGGGCGAAATGCAAAAAAAAAAAAAAAAAAAATGAACCTTTTAATGATTTCGTTCGACCGACGACTTTGGACGGAGAACTTAAATCGAACAATGGCGAACTGCTCGACGGCGGTGGTGGCGGATTTAATTCCGGTGGTAAATTCTGTATGACCAAAGATATTTCTTTGAACCATTCGTCTGCTTCCGCCGTTTTTTCCGTTTGTATCAAAACGTCCGTATTGTCCGAACAACTTATCTTATAAACATTTTTCCTACTCGATATTTTATCACCCTTTTCGATTAAGGCTCCTTGTAAATTAAGGCACATGTGATTGTTGCTTACGCCGACGACATTTTTCTATTAGAAAAAAAAAAGAAAAAGGAAAAAAGAAGTCGTTGTTGTTGTTTTCCCTCTCCGTCTCCCTCTCCCACCCCCCCCCATCTTGTCGAATCACCCGTCAATCGACGGGCAAGATACTTTACCATATTTTGAAAGGATTTAGCATCTTTGAAGAAAAACAAATAGGATTCTGTTAATACGGCAAATGCTGGAGTCCAATTTTTCCGCAGCTTTTTACCATTTTCCGATATTTTCGTCTTATTTAAAACTCCAAAGTAAATAATTTCCCCGTAAATTTTCGTGAGATCTCTAGGCATGGAAAATGCTTTGTTTCCATTATTGGCGGGTATGTCAAACCTGAAAGTACAAGAAAAGAAGATTCAACATTTTCCATTAGCAATCTTTTGTCGTCGTCGTCGTCGTCGTTCTTTTGCCTTCTTACTTGGGTTCAATAAGCATGGATTGAGCTTTTGACGATCGGACAGATGCTGATATTCGATTGTTTTTATCGCCATCTTTGCTCTGTCTTAATTTCGTCTCGTTTTCGTGAGGTATAATAGCACTTTCTGTCGCGGACCTTTGAATCGAATAATTAAATTCCGGTTTTGAATTTTCACTAATAGAATAATCCGGTAATGCCCACAGAGATTTTTTTGATGTTTCTTCGAAAAAGTATGCTCTTTCTTCCGAATCGAAAGATAATATCCACTGAAAAGAAAAGGAAAACTATGAAATCAAATCGAATTCCGAAAGGGTACAAATCAATTTTTTCACTAAGGGCTGGAAGCCTAAAAAATTATAATTTTCATTTTTATAACTAAATTTTAAACATATGTATATGCAGGTGGTAGTAGGTACGGATTCAGGTATCTATTGAGCGCAGTATGAAATACTAAAATGATTAATTAATGTGCCGCACACGATTCGAATACATATGTATATACATTGTCTGGGGAGACTGGGTTAACTTCCAACCCCTAAGCAACTTGTTGTTAAATCTCTACCTCGTCATCCTCCGAAAGAACAATACCACGAATTTTCGCCATCCAATCGCACACGTCACTTCTAACGCTATTTCTATCACGTAGTCTATCGAATCTTCTTCTTCCACGACATCTGCTTTCGGTTAAAGAATCACGAAAAAAGTCTAAAGATTTCGATCGGAAGATTTTATCATTCACTCTTGATTTGTCGTGAAACTTTTTTAATAAACTCGTTTCACTCACACTTTTTTGAAAATTTCCAAATTTTCCTACTCCTCCCCCTCCTTCTCCTCCTCCAACAACAACTTTAACTTCTTCATTTTCTTTTTTATTCTCGACACGCGTTTCGTTCGGGAAAATTTTACCGGAATAACTCGACTTTAAAGTGGAATCAGAATCGGAAAAATTACTTTCGACCGTCGAACAATAACTTAATGGCCTGTAATCGTGATAATCATTATGAATTTCATTGTCTTCTCGACGCTCATCATTCTCATCTTGGGATGATAATTCCCACGTGAGAGATGTCAGAGAATCATTTTCGTTACACCAGGAGGTATGGAGGACACCGGAGGCAGGTGTAGCCCCCGATTCGCTGTATTCGCTATCAAAATCCGAAAAACTATTATTATCATCGCTCGTTATTGAAATTTTATCAAACGTTTCGCTTTCCGACTTTAATTTTCCAGAATCTTCGGTAAATTTATCATTTGAATCTGATAAAATAACTTGAAGACTAGTTTTGTGCGTTTTCGTCGTCGTACTCGTATCGGCTACCGTTTTAGAAGATGAAATAGATGGCACAGTTTCACATTCCTGATACTTATTATCATTATTATTATTACCGCACAAACTTTCACTTTCTTCGCGAGATTGTAAATATTTTTCCATGTACTCGTTCGATGATTGCTTTACATTTTCGTATTGAGAAAAACTTTCGGTTCGCGAAACGCAAGTTTCCGTCGCACTTTCCCATGAAATTCTTCTATCACCATCGTCATCGTCGACGCCATTTTTCCAATATTTACCACTTCTATCGTTTGCTCCTTTAGGAGAAATGGATTTTCCCTCCAAAATGACAGGTTCGTTTAAATTTTCATAATCGTTTTCCCAATCTATGATGACGTCTTCTCTGAGTTTAACGGTTTTAAGCTCCGACAAATATTCAACATTTTTATTTAAAAATTTCGATTTTAAAAACGTTTCGACTTTTTTTTGACTTTCCGCGTCGATCATTTCCCTCGACAATTTATCGAATATTTTTTTCAAATTAACATTTGACATTTCGTTGGCGAGAAACGATTCTTTTGTTGAACGCTTACTGAGTTGCGCAGGTAACGCGTTTGGAATATCTTTAACGCAATATTCGACGATGTCATTTGATTTATCCAAAAAAGGTCCTTTCGATTCTAAAGGCATGCAACGTCGTCGTAGTCTTCGAGTTTTGGATGATTCCGTTACTCGTTGCATCATCAACAATTCATTTATTTCAAATTCCAATTCTGGAGTAGGCAAAGGAAACGGAAGTGGTTTCGCAGTGACATTATCATCGACAACATCTTCATTGTTCATTTCGAATTTCAATACATCGTATGGTAATAATAATAAATTTGATTTTTCACCGCTTTCCACTTTGTCATTTGAAAAATGATCCGAACATGTACTCGAATCCGCGTTGTTGTTGTTGTTTGTTATCGTTTTTGTGATTTTTCCCGCGATTTCTTTTCCTTTGACACTATTATAATTTAATTTTTTCGCATGTCTTCTTCTACGCGGCGTTACAAAACGGCAACGATTCCATTGAGTCGTTTTACGCTTTTTACGTTTCGGTGGTACCGGAGGTTTATCCGCCGATATGCCAACGTTTAAAAAACCGCTAAAATCGGGTTTATGAGGCGTTAATAAACCAGGTAAGTCTTTGTCACGATAATAATAATAATGATGATGATGATGATGATGATGATAATTGGTCGGCGATTCTGAGTTTTTCACATCGTTAGTTTTTCCTTTGCCTATATTTTCATCGCATTTTCGAATCATTCTATTTTCAAAATCGAAAATTTCTTTTCTCACATTTTTCAATATTTCCCCAAACAAATCTTCTTCTTCTTCTTCTTTTTTTTCCAATGAAAATCTATCATTTTCTATCGAATCTAAGATTTTGAAAAAATTTTAATTTTAACTTTTTTTAAAAAATTTTATCAAATAATAATAGTAATAATAATAATAATAATTTTTTATCCATTCGTTTTCATTTAAAATCATCAAATTCTACACGATTGCGCAGTCCATTTAAAGTTTGAAAAGGGCTTTGACATGAAGAATTAATGAAACTCTGCTGATAAAAAATTTTTTTTTTGATAATAACCGAGAAATCAATGTTGAGAAATGTTAACGAAAAAAACAAAATTTTTTTCCTCTCTTTTTCTCTTTTTTTAGGCAATAATAATAATAAAAACTAGGGGGAAAAAAAAAACAAATTTTTTTCGTAAACAATTTTCCTCTGTCTGATCTTTTTTTAAAGAGTTATATTAGAAACAATACATAACAAGAGCGAATTAATTATTACCGCAACGAAACAAAAAAAAAACAACGTCATCATCATCATTATTATTATTACTAACTTAAAATGTAAATATTTGCTCGTAGTCTAAAAATGCACAAAAAATTTTTTATTTTTTTTTTTGCGTAACAATTAACATAACGAATGTTTAATGTTAAATTTCTGTAGTTCCTCACATGAATATTAAACGGCCCCCCTTCATTTTCTGGCATAATGCCCTCATCATCATTCTTCTACTACTACACGCTCACGTTAATAGTAAATAATAATAATAATAATAATAATAATAATAATAATAATAATAATAATAATAAGATAAAATCAATTTTTAAGGTATCACCGTCGCTCACATACTAATAATACTATTTTTTTTTTTTTTTTGTTTACAATTTTCTTAATTTCCTTTCCCACCGTAACCCCCCCCCCCCAGTCGAATTTTTCACGCCGTATTATTTATACAATTCGCATTTTATTTTTGTACGTTTCGTTCGTTAACACGCACCGTGTAAAAAAAATAAAAATAATAATAATAATAGTAAAAAAACACAAAAAAAAAAAAAAAAAAAAAAAAAAATTCGTTTTACCTACGACGTGGACTGCGCAAAACACTAACATTTTTCACAAATAGACAAAAACTAATAACAATTTAAATAATATTTATTATTATTATTATTATTATTATTATTATTATTATTATTTACCGTTTAACCAAGTCCAAACGCTTTCTCGTATGTGTCTATCTCGATAACTCGCTAATAGATTACTCATGAACGCGTCAGTCTTTCCGTTTTCTTTTTCCTCCCGAACGAATTCGCCAAAGTCTTTTCCATAAATGATGTCACTTAAATTTAATATAGTTTTTATCATTTTTAATTTGCTACGAAGCCAATTAAAATGAATTATACGATCGGTTTCGTCCTTTACACGAAACCAAACATCATCATCATCATCGCCATCGTCGCCATCGTCGTCTCCGCCATTTTTTTTTAATTTACACAATAATATATATTCGAGAATGTTTTTAAGAGAACTACGACGATCTTGCATCTTTGAAAATTTTCTCATAGGCCAAGTCGGACATTCGGATTTCGAAAAAAAATCTTTCGCGAAAATCACATCGTCGAAAACAATTTCTTCTGCTAATGGCGATGATAATGATGATGATTTATTTGTTTCGATAACTTTTTCATCGTTTGTTTCCTCGCCTCGTTTTGTTTTGAAATCGTTTCGATCTACGTTATCGTATATCGATTCGTTCGATGAATTTTCTTCTTCGTTTTTCCAAACCCGATGATAATAATGATATTTCCATTCGATACCGTAATCGTAATAATCTTCGGCCGTGTAACGAATATCTTGCAACCAACAAGCAACGTTCACCGGAATACAATGAAATACTTTTGATGTCATTTTTTTTACGTATAAATAAAAAAAATTTCACTCTCGCTACTACTATTATTGTTTTTACAATCTTAGCGTGATGGCATTCAATTATTTTTTATACTGATTTTTACCCCTTCCCTCCCCTTCCTTCTTTCCTTTCCCTTAAAAAATTCCTTAATTCGTTTGACGAATTAAATGAAACGAATCGAACCAAAACGAATCATCATCATCATCATGAACTTTATTTTTTTTCGTATACTAAATGAAATTAAAACAATATATTTAACCCAAAACACTCGTTAAAGCTGAGACAAAACTACAAAAAAAAAGCAGAATAAAACATTTTTTGATAATTTTTTTCTTTTATTCTGTTTCCTTTCTACCCACCATCGAATCGATCTAACAATAAATTTTTTTCGTGTCTTTAATCTTACTCGAATGATTTTTAATAAAAAAAAAATTCTATTATATATATTAATTACCTTTTCAACTTAAAAACAACAAATTCTAACAAATGCCAACACGATCAATTTAAATTTTTTTTTTCATTCCCCCCCCCAAAAAAAAAATATTTGCGTCAAATCACACACACACAAAATGGTATAAATCATATAAACAATTAAACGTCAATTGTCACTTAAGTTAAAAAAAACTTAATTGAAAACAAAACAAAAACAAAAACGAAAACGAAACGAAAAAATTTAGTTCAAACTTTCGTAAACTCTTTACAAGAACACTGCGAAAACAACATGACCTGAATATTTAAAAAACAACAACACACGAAAATATTCAAATTCCGATTTAAATTTAAATCGGGAAATTTAAAAAAAAAAAAAAAAAAAAAAAATGTGTATATCATTTATCACGAATAAAAAACCGCCATTTCCGGTTCTTTTTAAAAATACGACGAAATAATTTTTTTTTTTTTACCACATTTTCCGACAGCAAAATCTTTTTTTTTTTTTTTGATTAATTTTTGATTTTATTTTAAAAACTTTTTTCCACTGGAAAAATTATTGACGCGAGGAAAGAGAGAGAGAGAGAGAGAGAAAGAGAGAGAGAGAGAGAGAAAAGAAGAAATTCCAGTCCTCTCACCGTCACACACATACGCACAATCCTTTTTATCCTTTTTACAACTTTCCCCCCCCCCCCACAAAAAAAAAGGAAATCAAAACAAACAACAGGTTTGAAACTATCGTTTCGAAATTTTCCCCTTTTTTTTTATTTTAAAAAGATGCCTAATCGTCAGAGAACGTCGCATACATTTCGATCAATTTAAAATTCAAAAAAAAAAAAAATTTTCCACATAAATAAACTTTTTTATTTTTTATTTGTTTTTAAAAATTACATGAACCGAACCGACCACCACCACCCGATAAACTTACACGGGTAAACGATCACTACAACTACTACTACTACTACAGATGATGATGATGATGATGATGATGATGGCGACTCCTCTTCTTTTACATAATTTAATATCGTTGAGCTTAAATGAATCTTTATGAATCTAACCTCTTATAACTCTCTCTCTCTCTCTCTCTCTCTCTCTCTCTCTCTCTCTCTCTAAATCTATGATTCATTCTTTTATTATTAATTATTAAACTAAAAAAAATTCTTTTTCTTTCTTTTTTTTTTTTTTTTTTTTTTTTAATTACTCTCTTTAAATTTTTTGTAAAATCTCCTTCTTCGATAATAATAATGATGATGTTATGTGCATGCGCGATCCTTACTCTCTTTTTAATAAACTCGATTAAAAAAAAAAAAATTATCAACAGGAGAGAAACGACATCGTTTTTGAAAACAGGTACCCATCTAAATCTAAATAGAGTGCGAATATGAGTAAACAGGTACGTTTAAACGTGTTACCCCCCCCCCCCGCAGATTGTCACATTTCTTAAATATTACAAACTTTCAGTAAAAAAAAAAAAAAAAAAAATTGACATTACACAACCATACTTGAAACGTGATTTAATTTCAAAAACCTTGAAAAATACCGCAAATATTTAAATAATAATAATAATAATAATAATAATAATAATAATAATAATAATGCGAAAAGTAAAACTTGGAGAAAAAAAAGTTTTTCAGACTTTTTTTTTTTTTAAAAAAAAAAACATTTTCATCTCATCAAAAACGATCAATTAAAATTATTATTATTAATTTTCTTATTAAACTTTAAACTCTTTTATTTTATTTTATTTTCGTTTTCAAAAATCTTTTATAAATTTACCACGCTTTTTTTTCCATCCCTCCCCCCCCCCCAAAAAAAAAAAACCTCATTAAAAAAAAAAAAAGGGAAAAAGTGAAAGAGAATCATTTTCCGTGACAAATTTCGCAAATTGAATTTATTTTTTTTTTTTTTTTTAAAGGAGCTTACATATATATTTTTTTTCCTTTTACGTCGTCACATACGAGGTAGGTAGGTGGGGAGGAGAGGGAAAATCGTGTGCGTTTTTAAATCAGTTTTCATCATTTTTTCCTCCAAAAAAAAAAAAAACATTTTAAACCTATCCCTTCCCTTCCCTTCCCTCTCGATTTCCACCATTAAAAATTCATTAAAAGTCGTGACGTTGTTTCCTTTCCTCTCACACGTTCAAATCAAAAAAAAAAATTTTTAATTATTTAGAAAGAAATGAAACAAAAAAGCAGAAGAAAAAGCAGAAAAAAATGAGAAAAAATGAAAGAAACGACTCTCAAGATTTAACCACATTTTAACAGTTCTTTTTTTTTTTTACTCAAATAATTTAAAGAAATTTTTTTCACCCCGAGGTTAATTGACACAGAATTTCATTCATGAAAATAATAATAGTAATAATGATAATAATAATAATAATACTAAACGACAAATATTACTTAATTACACGATGACATCCAAATTTAAGCCGGTTTTTCTAAAAAAAAAACGTGCTCACGCGCACTCCCTCATTTTTTTCTCTCACATACTACATAGGTGTGTACGCACATGCGTTCGTTCGTAAAAACGCGCGTACGCAACACGCGCACAATTATTATTATTCATTTCCGAGACCATCATAACTTTATAAATGATAATAAAAACAAAAACAAAAAAAAAAAATTATAATTAAATTTCCGCCTGTTTTTATAAAAAGTCGCTTTTTGAAATGATGAATGAAATCATTTGTTAGAATTTCTTGTTAAAATTTCAATTTTGAATTTTTCTCAACAAAATAACGAATCAGCTCGCGATATAATAATAATAATAATAATAATAATAATAATAATAATAATAATAATAATCATTTGACGTGTGATTTTTCTCTCCGAGGAAAAATTATTCGCATGCACCGGGAAAATTCTTCCCTTCCCCCCTTTCCCTTTTATTAATTCAAACGTTATGCATATATTTGAAATACATATGTACAAACGAATTCCGCCTCCAGTCACGTGACAGATGAAATGATTTTCCGAACAATTAAAAAAGTCTTTGCGTTTTCATTCATTATAACAATGTAAGATTTTCATTTTCCTTTTCGCAAACCTACACGTACGGGACGCCGTGAAATTTTTTTTTTGTTTTTTCCCCCCCCAAAAACAAAACAAGCTTTTCCTCTAATGAAAAATTAAAACTCTACGAATTGGAAAATTTCAACGTACCTTTTCCCTTTTGTCCTTGTGTACGTAATATATTTGATCTAACGAGTCGTCGTAGAATTCTTCCCAACCGGGTTTTATGCGAAATCCAGAACCTTCGATACTTTCTTTACTCGTTCTTCCTCCCGTTTCATCCGCGAGCCTCATACCCGACCTTTTCTTTTTCCTATTCGGATCATCGTCTTTGTACACGTGATCGTACAATTCGTAATTTTCATCTTCCGACGGTATGTTATCGATCGGACTGAATCTGTTCAGAGAATCTCTCGATGATTTATTCAGAGAATAACTCGACGATTGACTCAATCCCGTCACGGGACTCGAATTATACGACGACCTATTCAAATCATCCGGATTTTCTTCTTTCCAACGGGAAATGGATCCGGATTTTGTCGTTTCGAAACTCGCGCTCTCGTAATTCGTCGATTTCGAATGAAGGGATCCATTCGAGCGAGTCAAAGAATTTACCGACGACGAATGATGATGACAATTTTCGTTCAAAGGACTCGAAGCATTTGAACGATTTGCATCCGAACATACGCTTTCGTAACTTCCGACGAGCGGAACTTCCTGTAACAAAAAAAAAAAAACAAACGAGCGTGAACAATCGTTGAAATTTTTTAATACGCCAAAATTATTTAAACATTTATTTTTGTTTCGATGCAGCAAAACATAAACGAGTGGCTACAAGTTTTTTTTGTTTAACAACTCTGATAAGTTGTTGTGATATCATTTACTGATAAGAAAAACCACGGGATTTAACAGAATATGTATATACATATATTTTTTTTCTTTCTTTTTATCAATGTGCATTCGACCGACCGATAAAGATAAAGTAGTAAATAAAAAATAAGTCGAAGAGTTTATTAAGAGCAGCGAAATGAAAAATTATTATTATTATTAGACGTTTAAAAAAAATTTCGAGGATTCGAATTTAAAATATAAACGGTATTATTTAAAAAATAAAAAAAATCAGACAATTTCTATTATATACGAAACCTATTAAATAACTCGGGAAAAAATGAATGAAACATAATTTTTCCATTTAGAAAAAAAAAAAAAAAAAGTTTTCCTTTTTTTCCCCCGTATTTTGACAGCTATCGGAAAGCAAACACTATGAAATTTGAGCAAACGTAATGTTAAAAGAAAATATATACATATTGAGGAAATTTAAATAAAAAAAAAAAAAAGGAAAAAGAAAAATTTTCCGTTTTTCTTTCCTTTTTTTTTTTTTACCCGTGGGAGATTTTTACTCGGTAAATTCGCGTAATACATGCAGAAAAAAAAAAACATTTTTACCCTTTTGAAAAATCCAACTTACTTGATTTCCAATGACTTTTCTTGGGGGTTTCCAATTTTTTTCTCTTGTATTCACATTATAATAAAAACTTCTTCCCCCCTTCGATATGTACTGACCCCATCCTTCACCCAAATCTCTCATAGGTTTTTGTTCAGGCGGAGGAGTCAATGGTAATCTCGCTGCCACTTTTCTAACTTTTGACGATTCCACCTGAAATTATTTAACGGTTGAGAAAATCATCGTTTATTATTATTATTATCATTATTCATTTGCGAGTAAATCATTTTTTAAAAAAAGTCAACCAACAAAACGTTAAAAAAATATTTAAAAAATTTTTTTGAAAGCCGAATCTCCCTCGTAATAGGTTAATCGAGGTTTATCCTCTTCATTACCGACATCCTGCTCAGTTTCAATGACAATTAATGGCATAGATGATGATGATAATGATTATTATTAACAATTCAAATAATACACTGACGCTTGCAAAAAAAATGTTTTTTTTTTTTTTATGTATTATTTCCTATTTTTGTATAATCAACATAAATGTGAACCGAAAAAATATTTTTATTCGTGCGGAAGTTTTAATTCATAGCTAACGGTATCGTCATACAAAAAAAAATTACTTTTATTATTAAATAATTTCCTATACAATAAACGTGATCATTTAATTGTAAAAAAAAAAAATCATCATTGATTAAATGATTTTATTTTAAATCATCTACCAACAATACCAATCAAAATGTTTTCTTTCCGAAAATTTTAACTTCCTAAAAAAAAAAAAAAAAAACTCAACTCGCCGAGGGAACCGATTTTAACATTGAAAGATGAAGAGGAAGAAGAAAAAACCCCGGGGGAAAAACATTAAACGCCCCAAAAAAAAAAAAAAAGAGAGAAAGCAGAAGAAAAAAATCTTTTAAATAATCGAATAAGAGAGCAAAATCATTTCTCTCGTAATGTGTATAATTCACTATACGTAATACAACTTTCTTCGTTTTAATTTTAACCCCTGATACATTTAAAAAAAAAAAGAAAATTGTCAAATTTAATATTTAAATTTTCCCGCTGGAGATTTTCAATTAAAAAAAAAAAAAAAAAAGAAATGTCGTCGGGGTGAAAGAACAAAAGAACAAAAGAGAGAGACCTTCTTAAATGTCGAACGTTTATTTTTAATTTTCAATAAATTTTTTTTCCTCTATTCCAGTTTCTTTTTAAAACTAATAATAATAATAATAATAATAATAATTTCTTTTGCAAAAAATGATGAAACATCGTCAAAATTAACCAGTCGTCGTCCTCCGCGCAATTATAATTCATTTTAAATTCATTTAAACGACATGAAAAAAAAAAAAAATGGAGTATCGACAAAAATTGTTGAATTTTTTTTTTTTTTTTTCGATTACTTTTTTAATACGGAAATCTTTTGTTTTTTGTTTTCGTAGAAATCACAACAAAATTTAAATAGCTTAAACATTAATTAATCGTAATTCTTAACATCATGTTTTTTTTTAAACACATAACATTCGTACGCAGGTAAAAAACATTCAAAAGTTCTTTGCCCTCATCATTTTTTTTTTTTTTTTTTTTTTTTTTGCGAATATCAAATTTCGTATTTGAGATTTTTTATTTATTTATTTTTCTCTCTTATTTTTCGCATTATCGATTTGCAAGGAGGTAAGTTTCACTTTTCACTTTGAAAAAAAAAAAAAACGATTTCAAATGGTTTTACTTAAAGACCGACTACGACGACGACGACGAAAGAAGTTAAATTTAAATTTTAAAATAAAAAAATTTTTTTTTTGATCGATTTCAGACACGAACCGAAAAAAAAAACAGAAAAAATTTCAATCATCGTTGATAATAATTTTTATCATCGGTCTTCGAGTCGTGACGTCATTCGTTTTTTTACCTAAATTTATATTATTACTTTCCCCCCTTTCCCCCCCCCCCGCATCACAGCCGATTCGATTTTTCCGCATTTAATTTCCCATACGAATTAATTGTAATATTACAAAAAATTTATAATTTTCTTTAAATTTCACCTTGCGAACGTATCACGACGATAATTATTTCCGAATAATAAATCTCTCTCTCTCTCTCTCTCTCTCTACGAATAATAATAATAATAATATAACATCATCGTTACGTAACGACAAAGATAGAAAAGAAAAGAAAAAGAGAAAAAAAAAATCATTTTGCACGTTAATGCACGCTTTTTTTTTTTCCACGTAACAAACAACAAAACTAAATGTGCATCATCATTATTATCATAATGAATAAAATACAAAAAATTTTCTTTTTGATTTTATTTTAATTTTAAATTCGGTCAAAAGGAAAAAAAAAAAAAAAAAACAAACCTTATTATTATTATTATTATTTATTCATCCGCAATATTTACCGCAACCAAGAGAAAATAAATAAAAACAACAACAACCAAACGAACAAACGAACGAACGAACGAACGTTTTTTTTTTTTTTTTAAATTCGATACTTCGGAGACGAAAAGAAAATAAATTTCGGCTGATGCTGTGGGAAATCGATACGATTTCCACCAAACTATTACAACGAAATAAAAAATTATTATTATTATTATAAAAAAAAAAAAAACAAAACAATTGCAATATCACTCTAACCTTTTCCCATGCAAACTAATTCATTTTTATTGATTAACCCGAATGTAGAATTCGACGAAATCACGTAATCGGGATGAGGGGAAGGGAGAGGGGAATGGGAAGTGGGGGGAAAAAGTCAGCGGGGATCAAATCCCCACTGCTGTTGTCATCGTCGTCGATGGTTGTCTAGCAGGAAATCTTTTTTTTATTTATTTTTTTTTTTTCAAATATTCTTTCGTGTATGTATGTTCACCCGTCCTATTTTTCCCCAAAGCTTTTCCGCTTGAAAAAAAAAGTGAAAAACTTTTCCGTTATCGTCATCATCATTATGTCTACTTTTTTATAAAATTGTCATATTAATTGAGATCCGACTTATATTTTAAAAAACAATGCATAATAATAATAATAATAATAATAATAATAATAATAATAATAATAATAATTCATTCCGGCGATTACGCAACACTCGTGTTTAATGAGTGCCTGGTTATAATGTGAACGACTTACGCTTTTTTCTAAAAAAAAAATTAAACCGCTTTTCCCTTTCATTTTTCGTAACACCTTCATTATTATTATTAAAAAAAATAAGTGAAAATGTTTTTTTTTTCTCTCTTTTTTGCGCTAGTTAATTATTTCAATGAGATGTATGTATATGAATAGTAGCAAAAATTTTAATTTTAAAACCTTCCCGACTTTGAAAAAAATTTTTTTTTTGAATTTCTATTCGTTCCTTTCATTTTATTTTATTTATTTATTTAAATGCCTTCTGTTGATTTATTATTATTATTATTTGCTTTTTATACATATTTATAAAGGATTTAAACAATAAATGAGTCAAGGTGACAATAAATATTATGAAAATAGAGAGAGAGAGAGAAAAAAAAATCGACACGGAAAAGAATAAAAAAAAAAAAAAAAGAAAACGTCGTAAATAATAAAAAAAAAAAAAAAAAATTTTTTTTTTCGTCTTTTGTTTTTTTTTTATAAATTCGTATGAATGTCTCCTCACCCCCTCCCCGCGCCCGCCCCCGAACAAAACAGTGAGATGGAAAAAAAGGAATGAATGATGAAAGGTTGATTGAATGATTGAATGCTTTTTGTCGTTCTGAACATTATAAAAATATTATTTTAAGTGTCACTCATTTTTTCGTCTTCCCCACTCCTCCCCTTTTTTAGAATTTATGTTATCGAACCGTCACGTTTATAAAAAAAAAAGTCATTCGAAAACTTTTTAAAATTTACTTTGGGATTAAATTTAATTAAATTTCGATAAGGAAAATTAAATTCTCATGAATTTTCTCAAGAAAATGAATGTAATAAAAATACACACAAGACCTCATATGCAAACACAAACGATATTTTTTTGTTTTGTTTATTTCCCCCTCCCCTCCCCTCCCCGCCCCCTCCCCTTTCGTTTGTTGACAGACAAACACGATAAATAGATCAAATAAAAATTTCAATTTTTTTTTTTTTTTAAATGAAGAAAATAAATAATCGTATATATATGAAAAAAAATAAAATGGCTACTCACCCTTCCGCTTCTAACGAGGGATGTTCGCCTTTTATTGACCGGTTGATGTGCAAAATGTCTTTGCCTTTCCAATTCGTAATCCAATGAATTATTTTCGTCGCTTTCGCTGGCTTCCGTACCTTCGGATACGGTCAAATTTGACTCAACCGAACCGTGACTCCTCAGTGACTTGTTTCCAGTATTATTTAAACTTTTTTCTTCCAAATTATCTTCGGATTCACTATTTGAACAATAAGGTTCAGTGTACAATGCCATATCGTCTTGGTCGAGAGAAGGTTGATTATCCGCTCGTAAATTTTCCGATGACAACGCATCGCTTTTGTCGAATCCCTTGGATTTATTATCAAATTTATTACTTTTTTCCAAATTGAACTTGTTGAATTTGTTTTCTTGATTCGACTCCTCGATGATATTCGATTTGGATTTGAAATCATTTTTTTTCACGTCTTTCGTTGGTTTTTTTCCTCCTCTTACCAGCATTTCCGAAACGGAAGTTGAAATTTTCGCATTATTCAAATTTCCGAATTTATTGAAATTTTCTTGCGGTATTCTTTTGTCTGTTGAAGGCTCGAGGAGGCACGGAGGGTGAGAGACGTCGGAATTGAAAATCGGTTTAAACGTGGATAGGGTCACTTTTTCGTCCGGTTTCCTTTGAGAATGATAAGCAGTATCTAATCTGTGTTTGCCAAAAGCAACTTTATTTGATTGCCTAGAGCTTAACGGAGAACGTTCGGGAAACATGAAAGTTCGGCTTCTTTGAAGTCCGAACGGTGTGACCAACGGTTTTTCTTCCAAATCCGTTTTCTCCTGTATTTTGTCGAGTCCTCCTTCCCACGACAATGACAGCTCACAAGCTTTTTTGGTGGGTTTTCCATTTTTTTTCATATTGTTTGATTTGAAACTGTTACTGTGATGTAAAGATCTGCGAAATCTGGAAAATACAGATCTTGATTGAACCTGTACCTTATTTTCATCTAATATAATCGATGCATCGTTGGATCTGCCTTTTTTTTCCGGTTTTCTATCTACGTTATCTTTCATCATTTTCACCGGCTTTGTTTTATTATAACTGTGAGTGGATGATAACGATGACTTTGAGCTAACACTTGTTTTCCTAGGTTCAAATTGTATTTCTTCAGCAAGTTTCTCCAATGATTTTGAAAAATGTTGATTGTATAATAATTTTTCATTTTTTAAATTTGAATTCGATTGATTATCGGTTTTGCTTTCGATTGATACACTCTGAGGGTCTTTGGACGTGTTTGAAGATTTAGTTTTTAAATTATAGGAATTTTTCATTCGATTCTTACCCGTATCGATATTAACTTTATTAGGGAAACCACTAGATTTTACTTTTTGCTTTATTGCACTGCTTTTGTTTCCTTCGACCGGTACATTACAATATACTAAATTTTCCACGGCAACCGGTGTATTTTTACCGCAGTAATTTTGATTTCCATCCTGAGGTAAGGCACTTATTTCTTTTGTCACATTTCCTGTAAAACTTTGCTTGATACCATCGTTTGCGTTTGCCTTATCTGTATTATCTATATTAAATTTTTGCAAAAAAGAACACTTTGTATCGTACACGTTTAACCTAGTTGGATCAGTGTTTTCCTCGATCATCTCTTTATTAACTGAAACTTTGGTCCGCATTTTTGGTATGGGCTTTTGCTTTGCGCCTTCTGGTAGCAATTTGGCACTTTCATTTTTAAAATTAAATTTACTCCCAACAGAATCTGTTTTACACATTCTAGGTAAACTGGGAAAATTTATCGGGTGTTTTAAATTATCTAAATTTTCATACACTACAGAATCATCATCACCACTTAAACCAGGAAAAGATTCCGCGTCATCTTTATTTTGAGTCTTCCACTTAACAAGAAGTTCAACATATTGTGCAGGTACAAAAAAAGATTTCCTTTCGCTCGGTCTCACAACTTGCCACCAATCTCTATTTGTTTTTTCTAAAAGCAACAATTTTTCTCCTTTTTTCACTGATATTTCTCTGTTGTCCTTCCACATGTAACGGAAATCGTAAAGAACAACGAGGACTGGAATTGGACTGTTGGCATTTCTTGGAGCGTCCATATCTTTGAATTGGATTATACTTTGTCATACTATAGGTAAATTTTTATAGTGATTTCTGAAAAATAAAATACATAATAGTAATATTTGTGAATCGATAAAAAATATAGCACAAGAAAAAAATAATAATTTAGATAATATTAAGAAATGTTAGTGCAATCGAAAAAAAAATTCCAAATGGTTAAATTTCATTAAGACATAAATATAATGTAAAGTAATATGATTAATAAATATTAAATGAGTTATTTTTTAATTTTAGGACTAAAACCTTAAAAAAAATATTCAATAATATTAAACATGAGAGAAAAAATCTGAATTTTTTGTACCATTAAATAAAAAAAAAAGCATGTAATAAAATAAGAGGAATAATAATTTATTTTTTTAAAAGCACAATTATAAAAACAAAACTAGTTTTATATGTTTCAAAGACCAATTGAATTGATAAAACAAATTCAAGGACAAAAAGTAATAACTAAGAAAAAAAAAAAAGAAAAAAAAAAAAATTACATTTAAATATTAATCATAATAAAACTATGAATAAAAAATACAAAAGTTGTAAATTAAACGATTCAAAAGTAAAATTCACTCGGTTAAAAAAAAAGTATTTTATGAATACCGAAAGATTTTTTGGTACACAAAAAAAAAAAAATTTACAAATATTTGACTTTTTCATGCAACATTCTAAAATCACTAACAAATTACTTATTAATAATATTTCAAAAAACACAAAATAACAATTAATTGAAAATAAAAAAATTGAAAAATAATTTCACTTTTTTTTCTTTTTCTCTTATATTTTGAGAAATTTATTTTTTAATTAATCAACTTTTACTAATTTTAAAATAATGGATTAAATAATTTTAAAAAATGTAATTATAATAAACACAATATTGAATAAAAGTGAAAATAGAATTTTAAAAAAAATTGAAAAATATAAAAATTTGATTTCTTAAAAATAATTACTACAATTAATATAATTAAAATATTAAAACCTGAAGTCTTTTCAACATATTTTTATCGAATGCATATTTAAATAAATTGCATTGCCTTTAAAAAATTTAACTTACTTGAAAATAAAATTTAAAATAGAAAGTATTTATTTTGACCCCTCCCTGAAATCAACAAGTGGTTAAAATTTTGTAAATATTAAACTTGGGAAATATTTGTAAAAAAAAAAAAAATTCTTTGTGTGATTTTTGATACGAATATATTTTTAATTATTGATTTTGTATTTTGAATGTTAAAAATGAAAAATATGAAATTTATGAAAATATAATACGTTCAGGAAGTTTTTAAGTAGGGCGATGCTTTTATCAGCACCAAACTCAGAATTGTTATATTTCGAGTAACATATTTGATTTCCTTACCTTTTACCGTAATTTAAAATAAAATTCAATATTAAATGAATTTAAACTATTGTTTATAAAATAATCATAATCCTTCACATAAAAATGCTAAACTTTTAAGTATTATATATTTTACTAAAATGACATTTTAAGTACGCAACTTAATTTTCAGACACATCAATTACTCTTTCCATTCACATAAATACAATCTAAGTTGTAGGCTTTGCCGCCATGTTTAATTTTAGTTCTGTAAAACGCCGCATCTCTTTTAGTGTTATTGTTTCAAAACTTTTTTTTTCTAATTGTGTTAGATTGATGCGTGTTGTACAAAAAATATAAGATTTAATTTTTGTTAAAATAAATTTTTGTATAATTTATATTATACACTCAAACATATTATACATTTATATGGACGCACGCACACATACACATACACTTATATATATAACATACAGACATATATAAATATGTTTTTAAAATGTACAAAGTTTTTTTTTTTCCCCATTACCACGAGTATTAAACTTTATTTTAAGAATTTCAAATTCGTTAAAATATTTTTCTTGCGGTTGTAAAAGTTTCTCTTGCTTCTCTATCACTTTGTTTTTTCGGTCCGTGATTCGGTGGAGGTTTTAAAATATCTTTCAAATTTTTCTGTTTTTTATACTTGAAAATTTCATAGAACATTCCAATGATAATCATTAATACGACCAAAGCAAAAAGGAGCCATCCTAATAGAATGGACCAAAGTTGTTGATCTGGGAATTCCATAACGACTAAACCATAAATAAAAACTGCAAGAAGAATTCCCGGTCCCATTATCCATTGATATCGGTAGTAACGACCTGGATAATAGCCAATCATAAAAGCTATATCTTCGCAAAAACGTCCCAAACCGTAAAACAAGCATATAATAAGCATTTCAATAGCACATATAGGTAAGAGAGTAAGTCCCGCTGCATAAACGTCAAAAGCGTTGTAAACAGCTAAACCCCCTCTGCATGTTATTGGAATTCCAATAATAAAACACGAAGACAATACGACTAAATTGACCAAATATTTATATTTTCTAAATTTTGGCCATATATCGTAAATAGCAGATGGTACGGTTTCGATTATTCCCGTGATAGTACTTAGTCCCAAATTTATCAACATTAAATAAAAAAGAAATGAAAAAAAAGCAGCACCGGGTAAAAGGCGTAAAGATTCCGGGTAAACGATAAATACCAAACCGGGACCTGCGTCGACAACTTTTTCAAAAGGTCTTCCTGTTTTTACCGATAAAAATCCGAGAACGGAAAAAACTACAGAAGAGCATAGAAGTGATGTCAAAAAAATACAAAGGCAAAGTAAAGTTCCATCTATGTGGGTTGGATGTTGGTATTTTGCGTATGACCCAAAGGTAATAAGCGGTCCCATAGCTACTCCAATAGAATAAAATGCTTGTTCTGTTGCTATTCTCCAAACATTCACGTCATAGAAATTCTTCATTTTCGGCACGAAAAACTGTTCTAAACCAAACACTGCTCCGTCTTGTAATATCATAACACCAAACATAATTAGCAAAACGACATAAGGCAACGGAACCATTATATACATGAGAAGTCCCAAACTTTTAAGACCCTTGTATAAAATTAGATAAGCTGCAAGCCACGAGATAAAAGATGTACCTAACAGCTTCCAATTCATACTTCCGAGGTATCCGTACATTGGGTCGTCTTCCCTATAAAGTCTATTAACAGTATGACTCCAATAATATTCAGATGGATATTGTCTTTTCCTACATAATTGTACCGTGTCAAAATAAGCTTGGCAAACCTGGTTTTCGTTTTCAGGTACACTTGCGCAGCATTCAGCTTTTTGTTCTTCAGCATATGTTTCATTTAAACACATAAGTGTTCGATTATACATCATGTCATGGGATCCGCAAACGATTCCATCCATATTCGGATCACGATTTCTCGTGTAAGGCATACATTCATATGAATCTTTAATATTATCATCTTGAACGGGACAGACAGACCAAGGTAGAGTAAATGTGAAACACATTGATAAATAAAGAAAGGAAAATGATACCATGTGACTATAATAAGTACAAAATAAATACGAATACATAATCATGGACCAACCGATTCCTATAAAAAGTGGTACCTTGTCATAAACGTTGAGAGGATTTTTCGAAGTGTACTGACCGTTACTAACTTCGAAAAAAAACAGTGCGTTACCGAAAAAAAATATCATGAAACCGTAAATTAACATAAAAGCTCCGCCGCCATTTTTATATGCCAATGTTGGAAATCTCCAAACTTGACCGAGTCCAACGGACATTCCTAGGGTTGTTACAAAAAACGTTAAACGATTTCCCCATGATTCTCTTTCCGGTGCATGATTTTCATTTTCTTCTTCGAAATCAGACGTTGGTTTCAAACAATCAATACATTTCCTACCGCAGTTTTTCCGCGGTGCATCCGGATCGTTTGAAGCACACAGACAAAAATTTAACATTTTCATTCCAAAATTTTGCTTTCCCTGAGGCTCCGCCATCTAAAATGATAATCGTTTAAATAAATTTGTTATTTTTAATCGAATTAAAAAACAATTTGTAATAAAATAAAAAAAATTACCTTTAATTTTTTTTTTCTTTAGTTTTTCCCTTGTACCTTAAAAATTATAAATATTTATGTATATGTATGTATACACACACACATTCAATTTAATAATTCATTTTTTTTTTCTTTTAACTTATCTTAATAATTTTAATGCATTTTTAATTATTTTTCCAAATTTTTTTTTCTTTTTAATTTTCATTCACGGTACAACAAAAACCAACAACCCCCAACGGTTACAACTTAAATTAAAAACTAAATTTCTTTTAAAAAATATTTTATAAAAAAAAATAAATATAAAAAAATAATAGCAGACGATTTGTATTTTTTTTAAAAATAATAATAATAATAATGATAAAAAATAAAATTCGTAAATTTTAACAATGTTGCAATATTTTTTTCCCTTTTTCCCTTTTTTCCTTTTTTTTTGTAAACAAACAACAAATTTTTATTTTAATTATTATTATTATTATACTTTTCCCTAATGACACGACATGTGTATATAATACAACTTTATTTTAGGCATTTTACATTTTATTCAATGTTTTCATTTCCCATATCCCATAAGGGGGAAAAAAAACAAAAAAAAAATCCCAAAATTTTCTACGTTTTTATCATTATTATTATTATTAATAATAATAATAATAATATTTATTTAATATTCATTAACTTTGTAAACAATTAATTGAAAAATACATGTTGAAAACTTTTTATCCTCTTATTATTATTATTATTATTATTATTAAATTAACGTATTTCGACACACCCCCAATGAATAGAATAAAGAAAAAGTTTATTTATATTATTATTATTATTATTATTATTAATTCTTTTTTCTTACGGTTAAAAATAAAAACATGTGTGTGTGTGTGTGTGTGTGTGTTGATGTTTTTAAATATTTTCAAAATTTAAGTTTAAAAAAAAAAAAATTCTTTTATTATTTGAAAACATGTTTGTCGACCACAATATGTATCGAAGGTCAACTTTTGCACCAAAATGTTTCGTATATCCATTAATAATAATAATAATAATAATAATAATTACGGAGACGACCATTTTGTTGTTTTTCTTACTCTTGTAATAAATAAATATTATATATATATATATATATAACAATCAATCGATAATTTATTTATTGATTTTGAATTGATTATTGTGTAAAAAAAAAAAAAATTTAATTTAAAATCGTCTTTCTCACTTTTTTTTCTCTTAATTACTTTAATTAATATTTATAAAATTTTTTTTTTAATAATAATAATACATAATTTTTGCACAGTATATTATATATTTTTTACGTGTCAGTAAAATTTAAAAGGAAATATTTAAATAAAAACCTTGAATATTTATTACGACGTGAAAGGTTTTTTTCTCCCCCCAGAACGAAGGTAAATCTTATATATCAAGGTCGTAGATTGAAATCACGAAATACAATTTGACACTCCCAAGTAACAAAAAAAATCAATCGAAATTTATATACAAAATGACACGGGGGAGATAGGGGGGGGGGGGCTTAAATACAATTTTTTAAAAAATTTTTTTGATAATAAATATTATTATTATTACTGATAACGCGTTATTATTATTATTATTATTTTAAATTAATTATATTACAGTGAAAAACATTAAATTCTAATAAAAAAAAAAAAAGAAAAGTTTTCGTTTTTT